GAATGTCCATTTTATGTCTGTGTATTCAAAGTGGTTAGGATAGATATATAGTTACATTCTCTTAATGAATAGAAGGATTTGTTCTAGTGGTGTTTGTAAATAGGATATCAAGTCCGCATCTTGTACAGCAATTAATCACTAGGAAGAATGTATCCAATGTGTTAATTATTGAAACTGTTTTACCAATTTGGTTTGAAACTGTCTCATTGCAATAGATAGATAGATAGATAGATAGATAGATAGATAGATAGATAGATAGACAGACAGACAGACAGACAGACAGACAGACAGATATAATAGGAAAGAAAAAGATCAATCTTTCTCAAATAGGAAGATACCAAGAGATAGAAGAAGGAAGGAGGGAAGGGACAGGGGATGAAAAAGAGGAGTTAAGGTGTGCTATAGACATACACCAACTTCACACAAGGGATGTAAATATTATATACTATAAAATGTACTAATAAAAAAATTAAGCAGTTACCAGTTAAAAAAATGAACCTCCCAATGTCACTGTTCATGGTCCCTCTCAGTGGACAGAGCTTGGAGACAGAGCTTGTGGGACCTCAAGCGATGCTCACACCACAGTGTTCACGAGGTTATAGGCATAGTTTTAAGTCAGCCAGGAAATGGAGGGAAACAGACATGGGGGAAAGCAGTGACAGGTGACTAACTATTACGAATAAGTGACAGAACCTGAGTACCTCAGATAGTGGTGCGTGGCCTGGACTCTTGAAACCTACTGACAAGCACCCCTGCACACGAGCCCTGTGTGCTACTGGCCACGTCTGCAGGTCACGGGCCGTGGGCTGGCGGCTCTTACACTTCTTTCTTCCTATACCAGGATTACCATACAGATAGACTGTGGTTGGTATGCATGGTTGGATAACTGCATACATATATTGAGGACGAGAGCTATGTTTCTCACTGTCAGAAGAAAAGGAATGTGGCAAAACAGTATAACAAAGGTTACTACAGGGCTGGCGAGATAGCTCAGCAGACTAAGGCCTACTTAGGCAAGCACAGGGACCAGGGTTCGATCCCTGGCACCACATGTTGCACTGGCTCCAGCCCTGGGTACGCCAAGCTGGCCACCGAGACCAGGCGTAGGGGCACATGCCTGTAATCCCAGCGCTGGGAAGGCTGAAAACAGGAGGATCACTATGAGTCCGACTTCATAGTGAGAACTTCTTCCAAATAAAATATAAAATAAAATAAATAAGACAAGATGAAACAAAATAAAATAAGACAAGGTAAAACAAAACAAAGGTTAGTATGAACCAAGTGATACTACATATAGAATCTTAGAGGTTTCTATATGGACTCATGCAGGCTGGGGAGATAGTCCAGTGGCTTAAGCACCTGCCTGGCAAGCACAAGGTCCTGAGTTCAATCCCCGTTACCACACACACAAACACACATACAAAAAATAGATATAGATATAGATTCATGTTTTTTGCTTTTGAAAAAAACCTCCAAATGACTGTTCAAAAAAACTTCACCAGGTGTGGTGGGGCATACCTATAATCCCAGAATTTGGGAGGCTGAGGCAAGAGGGTCGCCCTGAATTGAAGACCAGCCTGGACTACATAAGCAAGTTAAAGGCCAGCCAGAACTACATAGTGAGACCCTGTCTTCAAAAACAACTACCTTGAGTTACAATTTCTTTGTTGTTGTTTTGTTTTATTTGATACCAGGAACTGAACTCAGGACCTCGTGTTTGCCAGGCAGATGCTGTGCCACTGAGCTGTATCCCCAGGGTTAGTTTTGTTTTGTTTTTTGAGACAGGGTCTCACTGTGTAGTTGAGGCTGGCTGTAAGCTGCCTCTGCAGCTCAGCTGGGCATTCAGCTGCAGCCATCTTCCTTCCTCGGCCTCCCAGAGGCTGAGATTACAGGCATATGTGCCATCACATCTGGCTGGAGTTACACATTTGTAAAAATTGATTTCTAGGACATGTTTTATGGTTTTCTTCTTTTGTTTTACAATACTAAGAACTGAACGTTGGCACTATGGCCTTTGCACTAAGCTGTATTCCCAGTCCTTTCTTTTTTATTTGGAGACAGGGTCTTACTAAGCCACTAAATTGCCCTGGGCAGGCTTAAATTTGCACTCCTCCAGCCTCAGCCTCTCAGGATCTTACCACACCTGAACATAAGACTGAAAGAAATTTAAAAGTCCCCAGCTTCTTCTGAACTTGCTGCACCCTGACCCTTTACCTCCGCTTCCTCTTGTCTTTATTCACTTACTTGCCCAACCTCTGTACACTGTTCAGTTTGTGACCCTTGGACTGATCCAACTCTTGAATTTCATACATCAAGTAGATCAAGTGACTAACCTAAGGTGGCAGAGCCAATGAATGACAGAGAGGAGCCCGGGACCTCGATCTCTTCCTGCCCCTTCCCTCTCTACGTCCTGAAGCAGAGCAGCTCAAAGACTGGGTCACTAATTCTGGGCCTGAGGCACACCATCCCCCCAGCCAGAGCCTCCCCGTCTCGGCTGGACACTGGTGCAGTCACCAGGTGGGACAAAGCTCTGACCAGGGAAGGCCAGAGAGGGCCAAGGGGCTGCTTACCCAGGAGGTCCCCCGAGTGGGTGGAGAAGAGGGGTCCCCCACTGGAGCCGCCATGCACAGCACACGTGGTCTGCAGCATCACCGGGGTGTTGTCCACCTGCACCACAGCTGACAAGATGCCTGAGGTCACCGAGGGCCCACAGGCCTGGCCGAAGACACCAAAGCCGACCACACTGACAGCTGCACCTGCCGGGGGGGGGGGGGAGCAGGAGGCTGAGGTAAGACCTTGCTCGCTGCCCAACCTTGTCCTCTCCTAAAGTCCAATCCTTCTTTGCCCTTTTGCCTCCAGGGAGCCCTCTAGGATCCCACCGCAGGAAGAGGCCAGGACTCTGCGGAGTTCCCAGCACTGTGTCCCTGAACTATATCTTCAGAGTCACTAGATAAGCAGTCAGTGTTTGGGTTCCTGTCCCCTAGTTAAATGCTCAATAAATGTCTGTGAAATAACCAGCCCCTCCTGGGACCCAGAAGAATCTCGCTGTGATGATGGCCATCATACAGCCTTCTGCCTCCCTCCCCAAATGCCCTCAGGAGCAGGGCAAGGTGTGGACCAAGCACAGCACAGGCCGCCCCACTCCTGGGCCTCAGCATGCCCCGGAGGGGCGCGTGACAGCCCCTTTCACAGACATGGAAACCGAGGCAGAGCACGGCTATGTGGTCCGTCCTAGGGCACCAGCTGGCAGAGGAGATGCCAATCCAGAGCCCTGGATCATATCACACTGATTCCATGAAATGGGTCAGCCGGTGCCTATATGACAGAATCTCAGAGTTTTGTATCAAATGATGCCTCTGGAACCATGAGCTCCCGTGAGCAGCCTCAAGTGTCCGGGGCCAAGGCCCAGCACCGCACCTGCCCCAACCCCTAGGCTGTGCTGTTACAGCAGGGAGGCCTCCAGCAAGAGCCTCACACTCCCTACTGCAGCAGGGGCGGGAACAGGAACAGGCACCACCTGCGCTGGCATGGTGAGATGGTGAGTGTACAACACTGACCGTCTGTCCTAGGGGCGGCCAGCCCAGGGCAGAGGGAGCCTCATTCAGGCTATTTCCTTTGTCCTTTACCTTCATGGAAGTACTCGGCAGGCCTGGGCATGGGGACACCCTCCAAATCCTCCTCCAAGCTCACCACTGCTATGTCGTAGGGAGAAGTCTCCTGGGTGGCAAATACCACACATCCCCAAATTGCCACACTCCTGGGAGCAAGGGAAACAAATGACAGGCTAGTGTTCTGTGTCTTCCACAACTCAGAGGAAGCAAGGGCAGTGACAGTACAAGTCATGGACTTGAGTCTAAAGACCTGGGTGTCAGTTCTAAGACCTACCAGCCAGGCAGTGCTGGGCGAGTCACTTAACCCAAGATGCCTTCTAAACTGTAGAGTAATTCATAGTGAAGCTTCCTGTGTCGCACCACGAAAACACACACCTGACTTCTAGTGGGCACTGTAGGCCAGCCCTGGAGTGGACACCTTGTGGATATCATCTCATCTTCATAAGCCTATAACTGGTGTTATCTCTACTTTAAATGATGCATCTGAGGCCCAGAGAGGTTCAGTAACCACCCCAAGGTCACAGAGCAAATGCCAGGAGGGAGGCAAATGCCGTGATGTCCCTGTTTACACACATGCTAGCACCTCCATATCACACTGTGTGCCGGGCTCTGGTCTAAGATGTTATATGTGAACTCACAGGGAGGCCACTCAGACCAAATGACTTGCCCAAGATCACACAAGAAAATACTACTACTCTGCAAGGGGACCTTCTGGGAGACCTGGTGGATTCCCTGGGCCCAAGAGTAGTGGGTAGGGCGAGGGGCTGGGGCTGGGGCCACATCACAGGGAAATCCTCATCAGCCTTCCCTAGAGGTCATGGCTATCCTGCCAACCACCAGTGGGAGCTGCTGTGGCAAAAAGGGGCTGGGCTAAGAGGGTTGAGCAGCAGGAGAGGGCTGGGCTTCAACACCACATGCTCTTCTGCCTAGCTTGGGCCTAATCAAGCCCTGTGGCCTCAGAAAAAAGAACTCACAGGAGAAAAGGAGGGCAAAGGTGCTTTTCACTGAAGAGAAAACAAGTGACTGCCCAAAATCCCAACTGGCTGCCCACCAGGGTCACCCAAACAGTTCAGAATATGCACATCTGCCCTGGCTCTAATTAGTTAGAGTCCCCAGCTGTAATTTCCACCCCGAAGGGCGGCAAACTAAACTCTAACAGATAAAACTGAGTAAGATTAGCCCAGGAGGGCAGCACCCAGACCCCAGGGACTCCAGCGTGACTTTCAGGGTTTAAGAGGACAAGATGGGGAGTGTCCGGTCAAAGGACTTAGTGGAGTCTGAGATGTAGAGCTAGGAGGCGGAGAAGCTGCCCAGCAGGAAATCAGAATGTCAGGGAGCTCAGACTGCCAGTCCTGTGGGTGGGAGCCCGAAGGCTAAACTTCCAGAGGGGCTTGGAGCTTAGTGTTGGGTGTCAAGGATGAGGGAGGGCCCTACATTGTGAGCTCAAAGCAGCTTGCTATGGGAAGGCCTGATCCACACCCGACACCCAGAGACGAGCAGTGTGGGGTAGCCCCCGACACCGGGCCCTTACTTGGGGTTGGCAGAATGCACCAGGACCTTGGCCATCTCCCGAGGGGCCACGTGCCGGCAGGTCACCACGAGGCGGGGCGCCATGGCCACTCCGGAACCCCACACACTGCCAAACTCCACCAGCACAGCTGCGGCTGCCCAAGGCGGTCCGGGGCCTCGCAGGGGCAGGCCCCTCGGGGTGCCCACTTCGGGCGGCAGCAGGGCGGCCAGTGCTGCGACATCTGGTAAGTGGGCAAGCGCGTCACGGGCAGCGCGGAGCAGTGGGGCGGCGGCACAGAGCAGTGTGAGGCCCACCCACTCGCGGGCCTTCCAGCACAGCGGCGCGGCCACCAGCGCCACCAGCGCCCCCGCGGGCCGCGCGGCAAACACGCCGCCGCCCTCGGTGCCCGGCAGGCAGCGCGCGTCGGTGAGCAGCAGCGGGCCGGCCGTGTTGCTGAGCACGCCGCGGCTCAGGGTGTTGAGGAAGATGTCTGGGCAGAAGGCCCCAAAAGGGGAGCCGCAGGCCAGCAGCGGCGCGCCCTTGGCCACGGCCCCGAGGGGTGCCACGGTCACGGCAGGCCCGCACGCCGCCTCCGCCTCCGCGCCGGGCCGCACGCGCAGCAGCGCGAACCAGCCCAGAGCCCGCAGCTGGTCCTCCTCCTCCTCCCCCGACACCTCCTCGTCGGGCGCCGCGCTCGCGAAGCGCCACTGCTCAGCCGCTTCGCTCCCGAAGAGGCGCGCGAAGTGGGCCCGAAAGGCCGGGCAGCTCAGCAGCAGCAGCAGCTCGGCCGCGTGCGGGGGCTGCAGGAGCCGCCCGTGGGGCTGGGCGGCCTTACAGGGCTCAAGGCCGGCGCAGCGGGGCGTGCACAGCCCTGGGCGGCCGGGCTCCTTGCGGCCAGCGACACTCGCGGCCGTTGGCCCCCACTGCACGTGCAGGCGCAGGTCGTCGCCACAACTGTCTCCCGGCAGGAAGGTGGCGCCAGCCGCGGTGAGGGCCCCGCTGCCTCCGCGCAGGAAGGGGGTGAAGATGCCCCCGTGGCACAGCACCAGGACCGGGTTGCGGCTCAGGATGACCCCGCTGCAGCTCCACAAACCCTCCTCGGGCTGCTCGGCCCGGGACGCGCTCACCACGCAGCCCGCCTGCTCGGCCGCTCTCATGGAGGGACCCCACTGCCGCCCCATGGCCTCGGGGACGGGACACTTAGGGCTTGCGGTGAGGACAAACAAACGAGCTAGGGCCTTGAAGGGGCGGGCGACCCTGCGCGGAGTCAACCACAGCAGGAAGGCGAGAGGCGCAAGTACTGGCTCCTGGCTTCCTCGTCCAGCTGGATTGGCTAAACTCCATTTGCTCCCACTCGATTGGCTGGGCCTAGCGCCGCATTCTGATTGGCTAGTAACGCCGACCCCTCCCGTCCCCGCCTCCTTAGTTTATTCAACCTGTAGGACTTTAAAGGCTGCTGTCCCAAAGATGAGACCTGCAAGAGTGATAGGCGTGCGACGTCACGAGGGGACGGGAAGAGATGGGAGGAGAGGCGGGCGGGTCCTGCCAGCCCAGTCTCTTCTGTTTGGGGCGGGGGGGAACAGCACTGAGCGCTGACGTGGCTAAATTTGCCCAGGCCTTGACAGGCGCTGTCAGCCTCGGCCCAGGTGTACAACCTTTGCCCTTGAGCCACCGGGTAATACAGGTCATGGAATAGCAGGTATGTTGAAATTTCGAAAGCAAACCCTCCAACAGTCCACTAGGGGGCATGAGACTCACAAAATTACTGGCAGATCTCAGATAGTGAGTGGGTTTGCCCTAAATTAACTGTCCTTTAACTATGACGAAGTTGCTAACGTGAAACAAAACCAAAAAATGAATCATCCAACCCTGTAGCTTAGGGTCACATAATGACATAGTCACCACTCAGGATTTATGTAAGTCAGAAGCCAAACCCTTTTTTCGCTTAAGTCCAGGATGCAGACGGTTCAGGTTCTGCAGGCTAACTTAGTCCTGCCTCAAAATATTTAACTCTGCAGTTGTAGCACACAAAAGCCAAAGGAATGACGGTGGCTGTTGAAAATTTTGTAAATCTGAATTACATTTAATTTTCATGTCACAAAATAGTATCTTTAATTGTTTCAATCATTTAAATGTATGAAAACCAATTTAAACTCCTAGGACAGGCCCGCGCTGCGCCTCGGCCCCCTGCGCTCGGGTGCGAGTGGAGCTGCAGGCGCGCAGGCCGAGACTGCGGACCCGCGACCGAGCGTCCGAGGCGGTGAACTCTTCAAGTCTGCAGAAAAAAATGGCCTCCAATAAAACTACATTGCAAA